CATGTCAACATACGTACTAAATGTGTTTATATCGAAAGCACAAGATACATAAAGATACATAAAGATACATTAATCTGAAGTTCTATTTTAACAAGTACGCAGATATCTTAAGCAACAGTCCTTAATTCCTATTAGTCAAAAGCTACATTATTTCAAGAAAGAAAACATCACATTACAGCTGGATACATAAGGGTTGTGCTCTGACGATTTGTTTAACAGTGGTTGTATTTGGATAAACTGTAATACCTGAATGAGTAGGAATCATCATTTCCCATGTTCAGAAACGTCTTCTTTCTAAGATCAAACCAAAATAACAAAGATCAAAGTTCCATGGGAAAACAAAATGAAATGAAACAATAAAAAGCTTGAGTTCATTTGATGAAGAGTACTGGTTCAGCCAACTAAAGATATTCCTGTTTCAAAGACATTTTGTTTTACCAAATAGTGTTGCTTGCATGCATATTTTTTTCACCGCTTTTACGATGCAAGTCCATGTTCCTTTCCAACAAATACTATAAAGCTGTTTCGAGATCGCTTGTCCTACGGAAGCGTAAAAAAACAATACGAAAAGTTGTTTTGGTTAGTGATAGTTCACCGTTGTTCTCGGAATAATTTTACGGTGTTCCAAAGCCATGAATACACGTGCTAATACTATCTTCGTCTATTGCGCCGAGACATCGTGAACTTCGAAGAAGCAACGGACAACTATCACCACCCATAGAATTTTTCGGGATTGTTGTTTACGCGTTTTCGCTTTTAAAGGATAATCTTTCTCGAAATAGCGGTAAAACAATACAAACACATAAATGGTAATCGTGATATCTTAATGCTTTGGGTTCCTCTACAACATCCTTTACAACTGCGAAAAGAATTGACACATTATCCCTGCAATAATTAAAAAATAATTTGACGATCATTTACCTTTCCGGCTCGACTTTCTAACTTCCTCCGTGTACTCACTGTTGTTGTTTCTGTTGATCATTGACAACAATTACTAATTTGAAATTAGTAATTTACATACGTTTTGGTTAAGATGCTGTAACCTTCACTTGAACAATAAACGTCGTCCAGGTGTAAATAGGAATTTTTTAAGTCCGCGAGAAAGTCAACAAGGATTGACTAAAAAACCCTATAAATGTCTGGTGTGTATTCATTAACAGAATTCAGCTCGCACATCGATACAACCGCAAGTTTCTAATCTCCGTCTGGAGTTCGAATTCGTGACTGTTTTGGATACACGTTGCTCCAATAGAGAGTTCCTATTACCCTTAAAATAGCTCTTTTGTGTATGATATCTATGTACGTACACTTGTTTATGTATAAATCGTATGACGTATAAATGAGTGTGCAAATAAGGACTTGCAATATGAGTAATATTTCAAAATTCTCTCGAACTAGCACGATCGAGAATGCAGGCTAGTTCAAGTTGAAAGAATTTTAGAATTTCACGAGTAGCGCAAATCCTTAACTTCACAATGTTTTGCTCATAATAAGTTGTGCAAGAGGTATTAATCATAAACAACTTCGAAATGGCACTGCAGTAATTTGTACTTGCATATCGTTTCTAACTGCACTGAACATTTCTTTGCCTTCGAAACGGGGAGAGGTTCTCCTTTAAATAAGATTTTTCGGACCAAAGTTTTTACACCATTTTAAAGAATTGAACTGGATGATCTGTACATATTGTGATGTACTTTCTGAAATCTAATCATATTATATTTTTTGCTCACGGTTTTGCTTTAGTTTTAATGCTAATGTATTTTAATCTGAAGTTAGAAGTCAGCTTAAAAAATGCGTCATTTAGTTTTAAAACCATACGCTAACGCATACAAAGTAGACCAACCTGCAACGAGATCTCGGGTATAGAGGTCTAGGTCTCCACCTGTATGGCTTGCAAGAAAGCGCATTCTCCTCAAGGCTGTTGTCCGAATTTTTGACCCGCTTCTTTCTGTAGATTATTTAAGAAAAAAAAGAGATTTGTTCTGGCATTGTAAAGCTTGAGACACAATGGAAACAGCTAGTCAGTAGGTAATTGGTGGCTGTTTAGTCACGTGTAAGGCTTAGATTGAAAGCCAAGATGTTAACAGGGATGGTAGTAAAACAACATTTCTTTATTGCTTATTGCATTTCATACGTTTGAGAGGACTGGGTGTTAAAACGAATGCAGCAACAGCATTGAAACCATAACACTAGCGCTAGCAGGCGATCAAAGATTACCCTATGGAGCCACCTTAAACCCATTCAGATGACGGGAATCACTATCAATGTTGTTTCTGCTCACATCCACATTTGTCAACGTGCTATTTACTTCAAGGCCGTCAGAAGCTTTCAGAGAGATGATCCGCACCATTATCAGCAATATCGTTCACGCTCACATTCAGAACCTGTGACGCATCGGAGTGGCAAGAACGTGACACTTTCTATGCAAGTTACTGACGTGTGCTAAATACGGCCGCTCTGACTGGTTCATTCAAAAATCTTGCGCTCGGATTGGCTATGGAACTGTTGAGCGTGTTACACTACTCGTAGTTTTCAAATGAAGAAGATTCGTTTATTTATCACAATATTTAAACCAGTTGCACATCCTTAATCGTAATTAAACCTCCTCTCAATCGATGAATGATATTTATTTTTCTACTAAACCGTTTCATAAATTAGCAAAAACACTACAGGTGCGAGTTTTCTACAAGCGAATAGCCAATGAGAAACAATTGAATCGTCGAAAGCCAGAGCCAGAGCTTTAATGGTTGAAAGAGTCTGTAGCACACCATCGCTATGAGAACGGGTGATTATTCACTGTCTTATCTCGGTCGGGCAAGCCGCTTCACCAAGTTACTGAACATAAAAAAAA